GAAATATTTCAGTTGGTGTGCAATGAATCTGAAATATATGAAAGTTTCATTTTTATCATTACATTATGGAAAATAATGACCTTTATCACAATATGCTAATTTTTTGAGAAGGACCTGTATTTCTAGAAGGATGTTAGAAATGCAGCTGCCAGGAAAAAGACAAAGAGGAAATATATAGACTCAGAGAGGACATGGAGGGAGTTGGGAGTGAAGACGGAGGACGCAGAGGACAGAGTGAGAACTGATTGAGATGGAGGACAGTTCACTGTGGAGACACCTGAAAAGGGAACAGCTAAAAGAAGAAGAAGGGACAAGGAAGGACAGTCATAGTTGTCGAGACATTTTCTACAAAAACATCTATATCCTGTGTGAAACTGATCTGTTTATTTGTCATTGCCACAGTACCACAAAAATGACATCATCTGTTGTTGTTATTGACACATTAAACTATGAAAATGAGAGTTTATAATGAAAGACACATGACTGATGATCTGACTGTCACCACCAGCTGATCCAGGCTGGTTCAGATTGGTTCATACCAGTTTAGACTGGTCAGAGCTGTTCATCCTCTGTCAGGTATATCCTCAGGTGAACTCCCAACATCCAGCATGTTAACATTATTACAACTTAAATCGGTTTACTTTTTTATTAAGGCAAAGCATACAGCTACAAACATGAAGGAGGCGGAGCTTCAGGGAGCTGTGGACGGAGCTCCAGCATCACAGTTTGGCCTTGTTCATGCGACTCATCAGCTTCTCCAGTTTGAGGGCAAGCGCCATGTCTCCTTTGATCCGCAGCTTCCCCGACATGAAGGCCATGGTGGGCTTCAGCTTCCCTGAAACAACACAAGCAGCAAAAAGCTGTTACCATGGAAACACGACCGCCCTGAAACAGCTATGGTTAGTTCCACAGTAGGGCTGGGCCATATCATATTGTTCACAATAATATCTGTAAAAAACAAAACTTGCCCGGGAAAATAAATGATATCATGATATGCTAATTTCATGGCGTAAATACGTCAGTGTTTCCTCTACCATTATACAAGCAGGGTCCCCCTCCCCGTTAACAGAACCGGGCGCCCCGCCCCGTTAACAGAACCGAGCGTGCCGCCTACCAAACCAAACTGCACACCACCACCTGTCAGTACTGATGTAATGCTAAGCTAGCCGCATGCAATACTAGCTAGCTAAAAAGCTAAAGACGTCGCTTACGTCGACTCTTCCATCACGTTGATCCCCCCCCCCCCCCCCACACACACACACACACACACTTCACAATCAAAAACTGCCAGTACAAACAGTGCGCAGCTCAGCTGTGTTTCTTGAGCCACGGTTTCACAGTTGGTACACGGACCAAGAAAAGAGGCAGGTAATCAGTCAGAGAAATGGAATCATTGCTGCAGGAACAGAGGAAGTTGAAACACCAGCACAAGCTTCAGGGTCAGATGAAGACATCTTGTCACATGTGATGCAAAGTTGCCAAAGAAGAGCTTTGGAAGCTTTTTAGGAGGGCTGCAGTAAGTGACAGACCAGGAACAGGACCATCTCCAAGAGAGAGAATTCAGGCAGAGTTAATACCTGGACTGTCCTCCAGCAGAGGGTGAGTGTGAGCCTCTTAACTGGTAGAAAGTGCACGAAGTTAACTTTCCTCAGGTTAACCGTTTGGCAAAAAAATACCTGTGCATCCAGCCACTAGTGCCTCTGAAAGGTTGTTCAGCACAGGAGGGAACATTGTGATAGTCTGCAATGAAGCCTGCTTCAGAGAACAGGCTTGTGTTCCTGAAGAAGAATTTGAATCTTGATCAATGACAACCAGCTAGATGACTCCAACAATTTTCAGTCAGGTCATCTGGACAGTTTCTTTTTTTGTTGTTGTGCTGAAACGTTTCACCTTCCATCCAGAAGGCTTCATCAGTCAAGGAAACGCACAACACAAAACTGATTCTTCCCCCAACAGCTTACTCCAAAGGTGGAACAAACCAGTTATGTTGGTGCTAAGATGGTCTCTTTGTTACGCCCCCTCCTCTGGTGCCGGCCCTCTTCCTTGGCGACAGTCATGTCAAACTGGTTCAAAACCAACGAAGTCCATGCTCAAAAATCCAGGTATACAATCCAACAATTTTCAGTCAGGTCATTGGACAGTTTCTTTTTTTTGTGTCCTGAAACGTTTCGTCCAGATGACCTGACTGAAAATTGTTGGATTGTATACCTGAATTATTGAGCATGGACTTTGTTGTTTTCAACCAGTTTGACATGACTGTCAACAAGGAAGAGGGCTGACAATGGAGGAGGGGGCGTGACAAAGAGGCCATCTTAGCACCAACATAACTGGTTTGTTCCACTTTGGAGTGAGCTGTTGGGGGATGAATCAGTTTTCTGTTGTGTTTCCTTGACTGATGAAGCCTTCTGGATGGAAGGTGAAACGTAGCACACAAAAAAAAGAAACTGTCCAGATGACCTGACTGAAAAATTTTGGATTGTATACCTGGATTATTGAGCATGGACTTTGTTGTTAACTGCAGTAAAATTAACCCTTGTTGTTGTTGTTTTTGTTTTTCAATAATACTGCAAAGCAACATGTTAAGTTAATTTTGTCAAATGAATAACTATGATTTCTTTTTTTTGTTTTTTTGTTATATCACAAAATTTATCGTTATTGTCAGAATGCTCTGAAATATCACAATATTATGTTTGAGCCATATCGCCCACCCCTGAATCCACAGTAACGAGATGTTGCAGCTGTGTCGTTGCTTTGGTAACAGCTCACCTGAAAACATCTTGCTGAAGTCACTGGAATCCATCGTCATGACAACGTCAGCTTTGGAGGATGGCTCACCTTCACCTGCACTGCCAGAACCGCTCTTCAAATCCAGGAACCAAATGCCACTGTGTTCTCCTTATATGGACATAATTATATCAATAAGACACGCCCACAGGATGAATGTTCTTACACTGGTGCTTGAAAGTTTGTCAAGCTTTTATGATTTTCTATATTTCTGCATAAATATGACCTAAAACATCATCAGATTTTCACACAAGTCCTAAAAGTAGATAAAGAGAACCCAGTTAATCAAATGAGTCACAAATATTATACTTGCTCATTTATTTATAGAGGGCAGCACGGTGGCGCAACTGGTAGAGCTGCTGCCTCTCAGCAAACAGGTCCCTGGTTCAAACCCCGGTCCAGGGGCCTTTCTGGGTGGAGTTTGCATGTTCTCTCCGTGCATGCGTGGGTTTTCTCCGGGTACTCCGGTTTCCTCCCACAGACCAAAAACATGCATGTTAGTCTGATTGGTAACTCTAAATTGTCCCTAGGTGTGAGTGAGAGAGTGAATGGTTGTTTGTCTCATTTGTCTCTATGTGTCCCTGTGATGGACTTGCGACCTGTCCAGGGTGTACCCCGCCCCTCGCACAGTGATTGCTGGACATGGGCACCAGCGACCCCCGTGATCCAAAATGGAATAAACGGGTAAAGATTTATTTATAGAGGAACATTATCCAATATTACCCAACAATGTTCAGTCAGGTCATCTGGACGTTTATTTATTTTTTTGTTGCCGAGACGTTTCGTCCTTCATCCAAAAGACAGAGGACGGGAGAGGGCGGGCCCCGGAGGCCTTCTTAGCACAAGCAAACTGTTTTTTTTCCACTATGGAGTGTGCCGTTTGTGGGAATCCGTTTGTTTGGTGGCTCCTCAGATTGAAGAAGTCCTTTGGATGAAGGACAAAACGTTTCAGAAAAAAAATAAAAATAAACATCCAGATGACCTGACTGAACATTGTTGAATTTTATACCTGGATTACTGAGCATAGACTTTGGTGTTTTGAACCACTTTGGCATGAATGTCAAGCATGACCCACCGTCTCTTTAGATTCAGTTTATGGACAGATGTCCTGACATTTTCCTTTAGAATTCTCTGATATAATTCAGAATTCATTGTTGCATCAATGATGTCCAGCCATCCTGGCCCAGATGCAGAAAAACAGGCCCAAACCACGATACTACCACCATCATGTTTCACAGATGGGATAAGGTTCTTATGTAGGAATGCAGGGTTTTCCCATCTCCAAACATAACTCTTTTCAGAAAATCTCATGATATTTAGGTCATATTTATGCTGAAATATAGAAAATTACAAAAGCTTCACAAATTTTCAGGCATCACTGTATGTGGACATATAATTAAGTTTTTCTTTGTTACCCGACAGGTCAAATCTGTAGATGCCCTGTGTTGATTTGACAACGTCCTCATTGATAACTCCCCTGATGACATCAAAGGTGCTTTCTATTGGTCCACCAGAAGGGGGCGGAGACGATGATGGCGGTTTGAATGCTGGTGTTGCTCCTAGCAATCAGAATAACGCATCATATCAGAGGAGTTGATGTCAATCAGCAGAAACACTCAACTGGAATTATTGCGGAATTCTCTGCAGTTTTCTGTGGTACTCCCTGTAGTATTCTCTGTACTACTTCATGCAGTACTTTGTGTATTACTGCTTACTGTAGTATTCTGTAGAACTCCCTAAAGTACTAAATGCAGTATTCATTTTAGAATTCCCAGTACTACTTTCTGCAGTAATTTTTGAAGTATTCAGTGTAATACTTCTGTAGATTTTGTAGTATTCTCTTGTTACTTCGCAGATTTTCCTAAAGTGTTATCTGAAATAATTGCTGTAGTACCTTCTGTAGTAGTCCCTGTAGTACTCCTTGTAGTATTTTTGTTATAAATTTTTACTACTCCCTGTAATACTTTCTGCAATACTCCCTGCTGTAAACCCCATAAACTCACTGTAGTACTCCTTGTAGTACTTTTTGTAGTACTTCCTGTAGTACTCTTTGTAGTACTCACCATGCTCCTCCATCTGTTTGACGAGTGTCTCCGGTGCTTCATCTAGGAAAAAGTCCGGCAGCAGGGGGTGACCTGTGGACCAATCAAAAGTCTCTGTGAGTACCACATAAAGTGTAAGTACTCAGGTGAACGTTGGCTCAGTTAGCTTGCAGTCACCTGGTTGGACGGCGTACTGGTTGAAGTCCTGAATGCCATGGATTCTAAGAACATCCTCATCCACCAGGAAGTGACCCGTATAGTCCTTTGGTTTGGACAGGATGGCGTAGGCTGCGTCGGCAATAATGTCCGCTTTACGACACTGTTTACCGATGCCATCACCACCAAGCATATCCATGGCAGCCGTCTGGATCGCTTCGGCAACAACGCAGAGACAGAGTTAGCACGTTAGAGGAAGAGCCTGGAAGAGCCTGGTAGCATGTGAACCATTAGCTACTGACCAGTTTTGGGCCAGAGAGCGTTAACGGCGATTTGACCTCTGAACTCCTCTGCCATTCCCAGGACACACATAGACATGCCATACTTGGCCATGGTGTACGCTAAAGAATGCCGAAGCACAGACATGTTACTGATGAACAGGAGAGGGACGGGTCAGCTGGTTGATAAGGTCGGGGGAGGGGTTAGCTGGTTACTATGGTTACCTGTGTGGTTCTTGAACCAGACAGGGTTCAAGTTCAGGGGAGGGGATAGGTTCAAGATGTGGGGCCTGCCACTCTTCAGCAAGTGAGGGATGACCATCTTAGACCTGACGAGGACAAAATGCTCGTTACCTCGTTAACCACACCTGGTCAAATGGAGCTGAACAAATTTAGTCTCAGTGACTTTGCAGACTTGTCTGTGTGTGTTCTGTGATATGCGTGTGCTCTGCGTCATACGTCAGGTATGTTCCTCTCAGGTTGATTCCCAGCATCAGGTCGACTTTCTTCATCGGCGTCTCCAGAGTTCCTGTCAAACTGATGGCGCTGGCATTGTTCACCAGGATGTCAATACCTGCCGGCAGGATAAGACATTAATTGACCTTTGAACCATTTACAGAGCAGAAGTCACTTCCTGTGCAGGAAGAGTTTGCTACCTCCAAACGTTTCAACAGCTTTTTGAACAGCTGCTCCAATCTGCTGCTCATCTCGTATGTCCACGATGCACGGCAATGCCTTTCCCCCAGCCGCCTCCACTGAAACACACAACACAGTTATACACACACACACATTTACACACACACACACACAACTACACATAATTTTAACACACAAATTTAAATACTGCAATAATTTAAATAAACAATCCATGCAGCATGGATTGTTTATTTAAATTATTGCAGTATTTAAATTTAAATTGTAGAGAAGAGAAGCACAGCAGGAATTCAAAGGGTTAACCCTTCATGCAGCGCTGCAGCACGGATTAAAAATGTACTTCTTGATCAATTGCACTATAACAACTGAACATAGAAGTTCTAAAATAATTAAAAATAACTTAACATTTATATTTTGTGATTATGATGATTTTATGATGTGACACACTTTGAATTTAAAGTTGAAGACAAAAGTCGATCAGTGCTTCTGGACAGCAAAGGGTTAACCCTTCACAAAGCTGATGCAGCAGAACTGTGTGTGCGTAGCAGAGAGTGGAGATCATGACAGGCAGCAGGAGGGAACGTTTCCCTGCACTTGTGGGCAGCACACAGGTGCAAAAACATTTAAAATAATTTATTTTAAATAAACAATTTATGGGTCATCCATCAATCTGCCAAGTGTGTCATGTTCAATCTTACTTTGAAAAACCGTGATATAGTGAATCCGCAAAAAATATACCGCGAAGTAGCAAGGGACTACTGTATTAGCTGTGAGCCACTTAGCACGCTTGTCTGCTTCTTCTTCTTCTTCTTCTTCTTTCGGCTTTTCCCTTTTCTGCTGTTACCACAGCGAGTCCTCCTCCATCTCACTCTGTCCTCAATCTGTCCACTGTCCTCACTCCAACTACCTCCATGTCCTCTCTAACTGCATCCATATATCTCCTCTTTAGTCTTATTCCTGGCAGCTGCATTTCAAACATCTTTCTACCAATATATCTAATGTCCATCCTCTGGATATGTCCAAACCACTGTCTCTCCTCTGGACATTTCCAAACCACTGTCTCTCCTCTGGACATGTCCAAACCATCTCAGTCTGGTCTCTCTAACTTTATCTCCCAGTTGTTCAACCTGTGCTGTACCTCTGATGATCTCATTCCTAATCTTATCCATCCTTGTCACTCCTAAGGAGAACCTCAACATCTTCATTTCTGCTACTTCCAGTTCTTTCTCCTGTCTTTTTGTCCATGTCTCTGTCTCCAGACCATACAATATAACTGGTCTCACCACTGTCTTGTAAACTTTTCCTTTGCCGACACCCTTTTGTTGCAAATCACTCCTGAAACTTCTTCATCCACTCCATCCCACCTGGACTCTCTTTTTCACCTCTTTACCACATTCCCCATTTTAATACCTATTTTAATAAGTCACAGGAAAACCAAAACTATTATTAAGCTGTAAAAGTAAAAGAAATGTGTGGCACATAAAAAACTAAACTAAAAACAGGAGGTGGGCAGTGGTAGAATCCACTGTGGATTAAATAAAATACACCTAAAAACAGGGATGCAAGCAGTGCTGGATTCTAGATCGTGGATAAAATAAAATTAAAAACAGGAGTGTGCCTGCTGGTGCGGCGGCTGGGCCCAGTCCAGTTAAGCTTCACGTGGGTCGCTGGCATCTGGACTTTATTTTACTTCTTTCAACCAGCCAGTCAGTGCGCGGTCAAACGGCCGCCCACTGACTGGTGATCCAAATTGGATTGTCAGCAGCGCACATCTGCTAACGCAGTCAAAAGCACAACACCAACCGGGCCCGCCCATCCAGCACATTATTTTGGCCTGGGCTGGGCTGGGCATGGGTTAGAAATGACAGCTCTAGCCAGCACCCGGCGACACAATCACGTGACTGTGACTAGTCGACGTGATATTTTAAAACTTGCGAGATGTCCTACAATCGACTAGTCAACTAGTCTATTCAACCCCTAGCGTCCTGGCACCAGATCGATGTGGACAGTGATTCAAATGCCCATGGTCGTAGTGGCTGGACCCACCAGCCATATCTTGGTTCACAGGCCACGGACAGACTCTGATGTCATGGACGCAGCAGCAATGCTCTGCCCACCTGCAGAAAACGAGGCAAGGTTCTACATTGAATTCATGGCCTTTTGCAGAGAAATGAGGCCTCCAGGATCTGACTTCTGCAGACTCTTGGTAAAGAAGCTGAAACCATGTGAACTGGCCATAGTTTCTACCTGTCTGCCCGACGCCCACCTCTGCCAGACTAATCCAGAATATGACCACAATGACAATCAAGGTTTTCATGCTGCAGTGGTGGTCCTCGTTGATGCCATTAAAGTAGCTTTCCCGGCAAAGATGGACACAAACGCCTTAAAGTCTGTCACTCAGAGACTAGATGAGCTTGTAGATGATTATCTACACTGCCTTGAAGCAGCATTTAATCAACACTCTGGCCTCACTCGTCCCACAGGAGGCCTGGGTGACAAGGCAGGTCCTTGGGAGTGACTCCTCTGCAGCAACGTCCTTGATGGACTGAAACTTGACATTACCACCATGGTACGCCAATCAAGTTCAAGTTCAAGAATCTTTATTATCCCCAAGGGGCAATTTGTTTCACAGTCAATATAGGCACATAAAACATCCTTACTAGATAATACACTAAGACATTAAAGTAACAGCACAGTACGGAAATCATCACGGTTCGTTGAGAAGCCTGATCGCTACAGGGATAAATGAGTTTTTCCAGTCTGTTTTTCCTACATCTCGGCAGCAGATACCTGCGTCCAGATGGAAGCAACCTGAACTCACCATGGAGTGGGTGATCAGGATCAGCCAGAATCAGCCTGGCCTTGTTCACTGATCTTGCCTTGTGTAGGTCAATGATCTTGTGTTGGCCTGAAACACGGAGCTTGACTCAGCGAGCTCCGCCGCCACGCCAGGCACAACACAAAACACTGCTGCCCAACAGAATCAGAAAAATTAGAAAAAAAAGAAATGAGACAGTGATCTCCACATGGCTGCTCTCACCATGCACTCAACTGTGACCCAACATTCCACTGGGCTCCCTTGGGACGTGGGTGAGGCAGTGGGCGAGGGCGCAGTCATTCCAACCGCACCTGGATGCCCAGCAAAGACTGTGAACTCTGGACAAATTGGACAATGGAAGAACAATTGTCAAAACCACCACAACGACACCATCCCACCAACCTCAACTTCAACCAGGCTTACGAACTGGAGGGCTGGACTCTGGGATTGGATGAGGAGGGTGGCTGTTCCACAACGCCTGAAAAGGCAAGTGAAACACCAAAACAACACACACCATTATACCCATCTGATAAGGCGCCACTCTGTATTGATACGCTTTCTTTGTTTATAGAGGTGATCACAGACTTCGAACACAAAACAATACCACCTCTGGGAACATATGTGCATTTACAATCTCAGGCCTATAAGCAATGCCTATGTTCAACCTCACAATTAAAGGGTGTTCAGTTCCTTTCACGGTAGACCCCGGGGCTACACACAATCTGTTATAAGACAAAAGGCATTAGCCTAACCTTTGAAAACCAGTGGCAATAACGTTTTTTTCATTCTCAGTCTCGGGCACAACAGCAATAGAAGTATTCTCTGTTCCAACAACATGTCACACAGATGGAGGATTCTCTTTTAAACAATTTTTCATCATCTCTGATCTGTGTCCAATAAATATTTTGGACCAAGACCTGATGTTTAAACTAAATTTCACTCTTGTTTCCTCTTCTTCTGGTCCCATTGTTTCTCAACAGCCCTCTGCTGAACAGCCAATTGTTTTACTGCACTTGCATTCAGTCCATTCATTCCTAGTTATGCCTATCAATGGAGGCTGAGCACTGGCCCTTACACCACTGGCTTCCTCCAGAAGGCGAGACTGTTCAATGATTCATGGTTCTTTATTGTCATTCCCATCACATGTGGTACATGAGGTGGAACAAAACTATGTACACAGGGTCCCAGTTACATCCAACAAAAATACAAATTGTAAAGAAAAACAGTAATAGGATCTAAGATATGAACTAAGAAATACGCTAAACTAAGAATACACTAATACACTGTTGTTAGTCCACTTACTAAATTCATGTCCCCAGACGACTTATATTGTATATATCTTATATTATTTTGTGAAGGCCCTTCTGCGAAGTTTGAAAATACAGGGTACAGTATAAGATTCCCTCTGAAAAGCTTTTTTATTACTTCATTGTTTTGGTACACACACGTCTGCTCTGGCTGCCTCTCTCATGCCTGAGCTGTACAAAACTTTCTGGATAGCTGATTCTACTAAATCTCACACCATTTACAACAGGACCCTTAAGCCTTCTTTATATGATCTTGTCCTTTCTGCAGGTTCTGTCCTTCACCAGTAAGTTATCTGTTACTCTGTGCTACTTCTCAAGAATGGTGCTTACGTGATACTGTTGCTTTGTTACAACATATACATTGTAAAAGGTCATACGGTCAGCCAAAGCAAACTGCAGTATGTTAAAAACAGGTCACCGTTTTAGGTCACATGCTATCACAAATTAGATGCTCCCGCTCTTCAAAAAGAGTGGAAGTGATATAGCACATCCCAAAGCCAGTTACCAAAAAAAAAAAAAACCTTCCTATTGTAGAAATGCAATTCCTAATTACTCATCTAAACTTGATCCTATAACTGCAGGACTTCCTGGCTGTTTGAGAAGCAGTCACGGTTGCAAAAAAGCTGTTTTGGCTTTTAGGGACATAGTGGGGTACTCACCACTGACAGTGTTGGTGCCACACTCTGTCTCTATAATCCTCTTGGGGCAGAAAACTTTTCATTTCTCTGCTGCAAGGTGGCTTAGATACACTTCATTTTCCTTGATGTGCCAAACATTACTGTAAAAAGGTGCACCTCCTTGAATCCAGTGACACTTTTATAGACTTCTGACAACGGAAAACCATGACTGTGTCCATGCACTTGGCCAAGTCTGCACACCCAGACCAGACCCCTGACCAAACCTGGCATGGTTTTTTGTTTGTTGATGGTTCTTCCTACAGGGACAACATGGACCAAAGCTTTTGTTCTTGTACTTATGTACATGCGCATGTGAAAAAGATTAAAAAACTAATTGAGATTTTGTTTGCAGCACCACCCTCAGTGGAACTAATGCCATCGACTGGGTACCCCTCCTTCCACCACTCTGTACAAAGATAACTGTCTAATTGCTCTATTGCTTGATTGATATATGTTCTTTTGTTCTTCTACATTCTGTGTTCTGGTGACTACGTGCTGATAAAAAACTTCAGAAGAAAGTCCCGGAGAACCAGATGGTGGTTGGGACTGTTCCAGATCCGGCTGAAAACTTACACGGCAGTAAAGGTTGTTGACCGAGCCACTTGGGTCCACGTCGGTGTAACACACGGAATAAGGACAACTTTAATTCCGGTATCACAAGCGTTTTTTTTTTGTGTCTGTAACACAAAACGGTTGTTGGTGCGATGACCATGGTGAGGAACAGCGTGGGGCAGACTGCTACGTGGCGGATGAGCTGGTGGTTTTCCGCGCCGGTAAGAGAGTCAGAGTGGGAAACGCCAATGCTGAGGGTCGAATGGTGACGGTCGACCTTCTCTGTGAGATGAAGGAGAAGGCAGTACACAAGACCTCTCCTGAGTTCTGTACCATCGTGACTCTGACCAGTCACGCCATCAGAGCCATGGGACCAAACTACTCCATCATCTTGGATAATGGGCTGGCCCATTGTAGCAAGGCTGCTCAGTGGCAGAAAGCTGGAGAGGTGTTGGGAGGTTTGTTTGAGATTTCTACAATCAGGCGAGAGGATAATGAGTTTCACAAAGGAAAGTCTAAGTATGAAGACATTCTGCAGAGCAACAACCTGCTATCCTCAGCTATGCCTGGAGGTCATCAGACCCCTGCAGCTTTCTTCATCATGGCTTCAGACTTGGACAAGCATAATGTGGATTCAGACACACCTCTGTCATACTCCCACATTGACATTGATGGGTCCAGTGGTCTGTTCCCCGGTGTCCCGACAGGAGCGCCCATCCTCGCTATGGCAACTACTACTTTTTTGTCAGATGCTCTTCCTGACACAACCCTGGCTATTTACCCAGGCTTGGGACTAGGGTTTTCTGTTTGTGTTAGCGGTTAGCCTATTAGCTCACCCTCATCTGCAGCAGGTGTGTTAGTGGTTAGCCTGTTAGCTCACACTCATCTGCAGCAAATGCTTGTGTTAGCGGTTAGCCTGTTAGCTCACCCTCCTCTGCAGCAGATGTCTGTGTTAGTGGTTAGTCTGTTAGGTCACCATTATCTTCAGCAGAAGTTTGTGTTAGTGGTTAGCCGGTTAGCTCAACGGCATCTGCAGTTGATGTTTATATTAGCGATTAGCCTGTTAGCTCACCCTCGTCTGCAGCAGATGTTTGTGTTAGCGGTTAGCCTCTTAGCTCACCCTCATCTGCAGCAGTGTAGATTGTTCCAGGCAGCCTGGGGTGGGGCTCGGCGGTCTTGGCTGCGATGACAACGTTAGCTCCATCTTTTGCAGCTTTCAGAGCGATGGCTTTACCGATTCCTCGACTCGCCCCGGTGATGAAGAGTGTGCAGCCAGCTAGCTTCCTGATAACACAAACACGTGTCAGTAATATTAAATAATCACGGTGAAATATCTGGAGAATGGACGTTTGTGGTTTCTTTGTCAAAAAAGGTTTCAGATTATACTTTAAAAAACTAACAAGTATAATAACTATAATAAATTATTTTATAAAACAGGCACTACACGTCATATTTTTGAAAACATTATTTTAAAAGTGCAAATGCATTTTTAGTATTTATCAATTAGTAACAGATTTAAATATTTGAAAACACAATTTTATACAACAAAATGTGTTTTATTTATTATACTTTTTTAAAACTAACTTTTATTTAAAAGGTTTTCATATTATCTTTTGTCTGTATGGATTTGTGCTTTTAATAGTGCTTTTAGCACCATAAGACCTGCTCTACTCTGCAGTAAGCTCCGGGACATGCAGGTGAATGACTCGCTGGTCACCTGGATCAGAGACTACCTCACAGGTCGACCACAGTAGGTGAGTCTGCAGAGGTGTCCTGAATGTATCATTTATTAAAGATTAACTTTTTGAACGGAATTATGGAAGTTAAACAACTTTTCCATGATGTGCTCATTTTTTTGAAAGGGTCTGTGTGTACTTGGTTAGCAATGTGGTGACTGTTGATGTCAGAAGCATTTGTAATGTGGGGGGAGGGGGGGGGGAAGAGAGACACACTGCTGGGGGAGTCTGGGGGTCCTCCCCCAGAAAATTTTGAATTCAGATCTCTCTTGTAAATGAGTCTTCAAGACTCAACGGGACTAACCTGTGTGAATAAAAGTTGAATGAATAAAGTAGATGCCATTTCCTGCATTCTGGTGTATTTTAACAGGTTGTTTATCATCTAGTTTTACCTACATAAGTAAACACTTGATTCATTAACTATTTTAGAGTTAATGGGACACAAGACCTGCCTGACCAACAGCTCTCCTTGTGTGAATAGAACACACTACATATGCCTCTCTCACACATCCTAGCCACAGTCTAAGAAATATATCGTAGTGTAGCCCAAGTTAACTTTTAGGAAAAAAATCACTAGCCAATATGAAACAATAATAATAATCACTCCTTCTTACCAATGGCCTAGCATAAAGCAACATGATCATCATCCATCATGTTTATTAGTAGCTTAAAATACCTAATTAACACTCCAGTAGTGGGCTAGGTCTACTGTAACATTATCCAGTTGTAGGGTCAAGAGACAAACATGTAGCATTAAAACAGTATGAACAACATTCAGAAATTGTTTCTATAAGAACATTATCAAATATTTTACGTGAACAGTAAGATCTCTCTGCCCACGAGGAAATGCAAACCAGGGTGAGCTAACCTCGGACAAACAAACAAATGGAGACTGAAGACTGTCCAGTTGGCGGTAAACCACCCAGTCTGGCAACACTGTAGCTGCGGTAAGAGTTCAGGGTGTCATGTAGGGGGTGTGACGTGTTGTTCAGGATCTGGAGCAGTTTCCTCAGCATCCTCTGCTCAGACACCTCTGTCAGAGACTGCAGGTCCACTCCCAGAACTGGGCCAGCTCTCTTGATGAGTTTATAAAGTCTGTTGGCATCAGCTTTCTTCACCCTGCTGCCCCAGTACTGCCCCCATTCGTTTTTGAGTTAACTTATTAAAACACATTTCAAACAATCATTAATCATTATTGGTTCATAGCAAAGCTCCCCTGACCTTTCTCCATCACTGATTGGCTATTGTCATCTGCCAGGGCAAAATTATGCTAGTTTTAGTAGACGCCTCATTGAGTGGGCTGACCTGCTGCAGCGGTAGACAGGAGCGACCGCCATATTGGATGTGGCAGAACTGCTGGTCAACTAATAAAGGAAATGCACTGAACTTTATAAAGTACCGTTCTACAAAGCGTTTTATGTTGATGCCTGTCATTCACACACCCTGATATACTTGTAAAACAAACAGGCACCAAAGACAAGATTTGTAACTTTTAAAGTGATTATTAAAAATACATCCATCCATTATCTTTTACCCATTTCTTCCATTTTGGGTCACGGGGGTCGCAGGTGCCCATGTCCAGCAATCACTGTGCGAGGGGCGGGGGACACCCTGGACGGGTCACAAGTCCATCACAGAGCCATTATTAAAAAATGTTTAATTCTAAAATATTTAGGTTATAGGTTAGCACTAAACCAGCATATGTGTTATTTTGAGTGTTTACAACTACTAATGTGTGTAACACTATTACTGTGGTGATAAATATAGAAATATTCATATTTAACATTTAATCAGCGTCTATAATAACCAGATCCTGAAATGTGACGTGTTGATTTTCTGAATAAAGACACTAACGTTCACATTTAACTGATTTTGATTAACATATAAACACCACTATCTTTACAGGGGATGGGGTATTTTGTGTGTGTGTGTGTGTGTGTATGTGTATGTGTGTGTTCAAACAGTAAATATAACAGTATACAGTGTATTGATTGGACGGGGGTTTGTGTTATGGGGCGGATTTTAACAGATTTTCGGGCTGGAAAACCTGGGCTCTATCTGGCAACACTGCGCAGCACCACCGAGGTGCTCCACAGAACAACACAGGAAGTCCTTCAAACTTTTCAACTCCTCCCCCTTTCTACACATGGGACAATTAAATTAATCCTGCACCACAGTAAACACTTTAATGTTTCTGTCTGCACCTGAACCTGTTTAAGACCTTTATTGTTGGTATTTTTCTATTTATGTTATTTATTATATTCTCTGTATTTTTTATATCTTGTGCGATTCCTTGTGCATGTTCCTTTGTACCGAAACTCTGGCACAACAATTGCATGCGGGGTCAGTAAAGTTCTATCTTATCTTATTTGTTTCTTTGCCAAGATGGCCACACTCAGCCAGGCAGCAGTTTCACAAGCTCCTGGTGAAAATCCAGTTTTTGATAGTTTTGGAATTGGCTCCGTGCCCGACTCCGCTCGCCTTAAGTGTGTGAATTATAGCCGAACCGAACTGATGAGCATAAGAGATCAGTGAGGTGCAGTCGTATGCATTGATCCCCTTGTATTCAGCTTTGCAGGATAAGACTGTGACAATGGGGTTGACAGAAGCTCCTACAGAGCAGTCTTCATCAGCTGTTTGTTACTCCTGTAAAAACTGATGTTGTGAGAACAAGATCAGGAAGAACAGTGATGAAGCCTTTAAGTGATGAAGCCTACTAAACTGGACCTTTAAGACCAGAGGAAATAAAAATTCAAAGGACTGATAGCAGGTTGGATTGAAGGAACAGGTTATGTTTGAGTTACAGTTACTTTATGTTTTGTGTTCCTAACCAGTAGAAAGAAAGAGAGAAAAAGATAAATTTATCCCCATTTGTTAAAAGGGGACATGTGGTGTTCATGAATACTAAATGTTAAATCTTGAACGTTACTCACTGGAGGTCATGTGACGCGTAAATCAGCATGCAAACCATTTGTTTTTGCTTTCTATTAAAGAGTACATGTTCGCCAGCACACAGTTCCACGTTCCTTTTGTTCTAAAATCAAGAACACGACAATGGGTGTGATAAAACCTACTTGAACTTTATCATTCTTTGTGTGAAGCTACACGTGATTGTAGCATTAACAAGCTTCCAATTGTCTTCACAATAAAAGCCTTAGGAGAGACATCGTAAACCTTTATTCTGAAGTTGAACTTCCTGTGCGATTACTTGTTTTGGTAAATAAAGTTTTTTCATTCAACCTCGAAGTCCTCGACCTTTTTACATTCATTACCAGTTTTCAACACACACGAACCGGACCGGTGATTTATCATTGTATTAATTAAATCAATAAAAATCTGCGCTGGTTTATTCCAAGTGTTAAGCTTGGAAAGCTAAAGATGCAGCTGTCACCAGACTCGCATAGAAAACTTTGACGGTTTTATGTTGCCTTGCTCAAAGGTCAGAAGGCCGAGGGATCGGGGAAAACTGTACACGGATTTTACAAGTAAACCCTTTAATCATAAGTTCGGCAGCAATAAAACCCAGAACCAAAGCCAGTAGATTCAATAAAATCAATGAACTCTGTCAGAGACTCTGCGATTGGAACCGCTGCGGAGTTAAACCTCGGGACTTTATTTGTGACTTCTTACAAAGGTAGTTATGTATGGGAGAAAAAGAACCACTGTGTTCGGAACCAGAACCAGTTCTGTATTGGACTCACTCACCCGGTGTTCTGCAGCATCTTATTCCCACCTCAGATTACTGATCACTGTGCAGCAACTCGTCTGTATTCACCTTTAACCCACTTTTACACACTCGTCATCACCGGAAGCTTTGTATACAAATATTTCCGGGGTGCGGCCAAAGATCTACTCGAGTGAAGTAATGTCTCACTCTGACAATAATCTGCGCACAGATTTAACGATAATCTGATTATTATTTTTTTCATTCAACCTTTATTTATACAGGTTAATCCCATTGAGCCTCGGGGAGTCATTTACAAGAGAGACCTGATTTCTTAACAAAGAGTGACGACAACAATAGACAGTCATATTAGAGGCATACAAATTTATTGTCTGAATGGGTCAAATTGATTCATGTTACGGATCTGATTTGATCTAAAACAGAAGGAAAACGAAATTATTTTAAGTAAGAACGTTTTTTTGGAATTAAAACTATGACTGACATCTGTAAACTGGTGGATTTTTGTCGTGTTTCACCAGAAAATAATGATTTTAATATTTAACGTGATTGTCATAAATCAGCATTCAACTCATTTCGGCCCGATGGAGTTGGTTTCATGGAGTTAAAATCGGCTGTGGATTTTGTGCTGCAGTGTTTTTTGTTTGTTTTTTCACTTTTAAAAAGGTGAGTTTGTCGGGTCACGTTTCAATCTGAGCAGGGAGAAAACTCAGCTGCAGGCTGTGCAACTTTATTTAAACGAACAGAAAGTTTGAAGCAGCTGAAGTTATGTTCAGGAGAACATCTTCAGCTCAGTAAAGTTTTTGTCCCGACTCAGGGTGTTCTGTTGCATTTTGATTCCCTTCAGGCCTGTTTACCTCCCGGTTGCGGCCCTCACACCTGGTCCCAGGTGTTCAGGATCTCAAGTTCCTCCTGGAGGTTCAGGTTCTCCATGTGGAGTTCTGCCCTCCTGTGGCACCAAGGCTGTTGTAATAAGGCCTGTTATCTCCAACAAAGACACTTTCTATCAGTTAGCTGTCGGATCTGGATTGGTTCTTGTTCCACAGAACACAACAGTTTCAGTCACAGACATATAATATAGTAAGGTGACCAGGTTTCTGATATTAAATCTGGGGCCATTTCCAGCTCAGAGACAAAAAAGAATTAAATGATATCAAGATGAAATTAAGCAACAGGGACAATTGTGGTTTAATTAATTTTTACATATTGTCACTCAAGCACTAGATGTTTTACGCTTGCCAGCGATTTATTCAGGAACAATAAATGCAGGTCAGCTCACTCCGAGTCAATGTTCGGCCGAGACTCACGCCGGAGCTCCTCAGCATCACAACAGGTGCATCACACAGACAGAGCAACCAAAAACCCCACTCCATACTCATTTCCCAACAACCCCTGCAGCACAACCAGAATATGTCATACCAGAACCAGTAACAGTGCAACAGGAATAATTAACATGTAACAATACAGGAGCTCCTCAAGGATCATTACAATATTTATTCATGTTTAAACAAAAAAAAAAAAAATGTAGCAGCAGGAATGTGTCTCCACACACAGTTCCTAAGAGTAATAAAACAAATAAAGTACAAACCGGATTCCAAAAAAGTTGGGACACTAAACAAATTGTGAATAAAAACTGAATGTAATGATGTGGAGATGACATATGTCAATATTTTATTCGTAATATAACATAGATGACAGATCAAAAGTTTAATCTGAGTAAATGTAACATTTTAAAGGAAAAATATGTTGATTCAAAATTTCACTGTCTCAACAAATCCCAAAAAAGTTGGGACAAGTAGCAATAAGTGGCTGGAAAAAGGAAATTGAGCATATAACGAACAGCTAGAAGACCAATTAACACTAATTAGGTCAATTGACAACATGATTGGGTATAAAAAAAGCTTCTCAGAGTGTCAGTGTCTCTCAGAAGCCAAGATGGTAAGAGGATCATCAATTCCACCTTTGTTGCGCAGAAAGATAGTGCAGCAATACCAGAATGGTGTTACCCAGCGTAAAATAGCAAAGACTTTTAAGTTATCATCATCAACCGTGCATAACATCATCAAAAGATTCAGAGAATCTGGAACAATCGCTGTGCGTAAGGGTCAAGGCCATAAAACTCTACTGGATGCTCGTGATCTCCGGGCCCTTAAACGTCACTGCACCTCAAACAGGAATGCCACTGTCAAGGAAATAACAGAATGGGCTCAGGAATACTTCCAGAAAGCATTGTCAGTGAACACAATCCACCGTGCCATCTGCCGTTGCCAGCTGAAACTCTACAGTGCAAAGAGGAAGCCATTTCTAAGCAAGCTCCACAAGCTCAGACGTTTGCACTGGGCCAGGGGTCATTTAAAATGGAGTGTGGCAAAATGGACGACTGTTCTGTGGTCAGATGAGTCACGATTTGAAGTTCTTTATGGAACACTGGGACGCCATGTCATCCGGACCAGAGAGGACAAGGATAGCCCAAGTTGTTATCAACGCTCCGTTCAGAAGCCTGCATCACTGATGGTATGGGGTTGCATGAGTGCTTGTGGCATGGGCAGCTTGCATGTCTGGAAAGGCACCATTAATGCAGAGAACCATGTTCAGGTTCTAGAACAACATATGCTCCCATCTAGACGTCATCTCTTTCAGGGAAGACCCTGCATTTTTCAACACGATAATGCCAGACCACATTCTGCAGCAATCACAACATCATGGCTACGTAGGAGAAGGATCCGGGTACTGAAATGGCCAGCCTGCAGTCCAGATCTTTCACCTATAGAGAACATTTGGTGCATCATAAAGAGGAAGGTGCGACAAAGAAGGCCCAAGACGATTGAACAGTTAGAGGCCTGTATTAGACATGAATGGGAGAACATTCCTATTTCTAAACTTGAGAAACTGGTCTCCTCTGTCCCCAGACGTCTATTGAGTGTTGTAAGAAGAAGGGGGGATGCCACACAGTGGTAAAAATGGACTTGTTCCAACTTTTTGGGGATTTGTTGACACCATGAAATTTGGAAACAACAGAGTTTTCCCTTAAAATGATACATTCTCTCAGTTTAAACTTTTGATCTGTGATTTGTGTTCTATTCTGAATAAAATATTAGATGTTGGCACCTCCACATCATTGCATTCAGTTTTTATTCACAATTTGTTTAGTGTCCCAACTTTTTTGGAATCCGGTTTGTAGCATTGGTGTCAGAAACATTAGTAATGTGGCAGTGGTGGGGGGGGGCATCTTCAGCTGCTGGAGGAATCTGCTCGTCACATTTCGCTCTCCAGCCTCAGCTAGTTTATTTTCTTTATCTAAAACTAAAACCGTGTTCTAGGTCACTTTGTTGTGGAGATGACTACTTTTATCTGCCCTCAACTCCACCTACAGCTCTGATCTGCCGTCAGAGGAAATCTAATGTAGAGATGTTAAATCACGTTATCAGCTCTATGTCTAAGCTTTGAACGAGGATTTGTAGCCCAGTCAGGGTATGTTTTTAATTAACTTGTTGGAAGCAGTTGGCTGAATGACAATAGAGATTAAACTCAGATTGTTGAGGGATTAAACGTGTCCCGATTATCCTGTTGACCTCTCGGCTGGAAGACGTCAACAGTTAAACAGAAGCAGCTCAAAGACAAAACGCTTTGAAACTACTTTTATTGTTCCTGAAGGAAAAAAGCTCCGGATGAGAAGGTGCAGCTAACGACAGGTGGAAACCAGGAGCTGGGGTAAGGGGGACAAATCACCATGGTGCATTGTGGGAAACCCTCCAACAGGACAAAAGACTTCAGACATTTTTTTTTTTTTTTTTAAGCGTCCATCTCAGAAGAGCTGCAGCTCTTCTGAGACATATATAAAGTGAAAAGAAAAAAGAAATTGGATGTTCAAGTGGAAATACTAAAGATACGCTCGAGGCTTCGTGTCTGGAACATTTACACAAACAACTTCATTATTTCCACTTTAGTCTCAATAAAAATAAAAACTTCCTGGCCCATCGACTGTACGATTGACAGAAGTGATCAGAACAAAAACAGACTCTGGGTCACATGCAAGGACGGACTCGACACAGATCCTCTACGACACCACCACTTATCAGAGTTACGGTTGTTCCTCGCTACTTCACAGTTCAACTTTCGCAGACTCGCTCTATAGCCGTTTTTCAAAGACTGAACATGAGAAAGAAAAAAACATTGTACAGGACAAATGATTGTCAACTTTAATATTACCGTATTTTTCAGCCTAAAAGTCACATCTTTTTGCAGTTTACATACACTGCGACTTATGCGCAGAAGTGACGTATTTTTCCCCATATTTATAAACCAATCTTTGGCTGAGACTGTTTTCATTCATTCTGACTGAAAATATTGAACACTAACATTTTCAGCTGCTAGATGGCACTCGAGCAGTGTGGCATGCCATTGTGACATGTAATAGGTAAAAGTGGCTATTAATGACACAATCAGCTTGCCATACCCTGCCACCTTCATCCAGCTCGCCTGGAGCAACCGTCTAATCAGCTTCATTTCTCTGCGCCGCCCCGGAGAAATGAAGCTGATTTGACCATTGAAGTTATTAAGTAAAAGTTCAACTGAGACACATCTTTACTATAATTTCAAGCAAACAAATGATTGTTTTTTAGTGTTAATCTTGTTAAAATCTTGTTAAAGTCCTCTCGTGCACGCTCCCACGGCCACCATTTGGCAGCAAAGTGATTTTTGGCACAACGGCCCACATTTCCAAGTTATCAGTGGCAGAGGTGTAAGTGATGAATTACACTCACATTACTGTAATTAGCGGTAAGTAGATTTTTTGGGTACTTGTATTTTTATGAGTATTTCTTTCAAGTGTGTAATTTTACTCATACTTAAGTACAATTTAGATCATGTAATCTACTTCACTATTTTAAAAATCAGAAGTCGCTATGGAATACGGCCGCAATTTGAATTAATATTCAAACAATTCTTCTGCATCTTTGTAGCCAGTACAACTCTCAGATCACGATCGCATAAATTACCTACGATGAAAGCAAAGGACAACTCCGTAGAGTAGAGAGTCATTTCTGGACCGAAGATTTGGAGAAAAAGCCTAAATGGAGACAGAGGACAACACTAGCAGAGAAAATGAGGAGGTAAAGGCTGAGGACGAGTGCACGTGGCCGTACCTGCAGGAACGTTTCATGTACAGAGGGTGGAAAGGAGAGAGTCCAGACACAAACTTTGTTTGATCTCTACGGTGATAGCATCTTACAAGACTTCATCTAATCTCTAAAACATATTATGGTATACGAGGTTTTACAACTACCTGTATGATATTGCTGTTTTATTGTTTGTATGCGTTGACTATTAGTTTGGCTAAGTAAACGCAAAGACCTTAGGTATTGCCATTTGTTTGCCTGGTACTAAAATAAGATGGAGCTTCTGAGAGTCTGAGAAATGTGTTCGAATGTAGCGATTATATTTATATTTATTATATACAGTAAATCAAACTGAATGTTTTCTATTGACAACAATAAAACATCAAGTAGTTAAAAAGTAATTAATACTCCGAGTAGTTTTTGAGAAGAGTACTCTGTGCTTTTACTTAACTATGTTTATAACACCAGTACTTTTACATGTAATTGAGTACAATTTAAGCAGTGTAACAATACCATATTTTCCACCGTACATGTTGCATCGCCCTACAAGTCGCATTAATCCAAATATGTCTAAAAAAGTGGAAAAACCCATAAATATGTTGCTTTGTCGTATAAATACATCTATTATGTATCACCGCTGACACTTCACGTTTGTTATGAGTCACCGCTGATAACCTGGAAATGTGGGCCGGTGTTGTGCCAAAAATCGATGGCCTGCCAAATGGCGGCCGCGGGAGCGTGCACGGGAGGACTTTTAAAAAGAATTTTAAAAGATTAACACTTAAAAAAACATTATATATTTGCTCGAAATTATACTAAAAGTGTGTCTCAGTCTAATTTTTCCTTAATAAATGCACTTTAACAGTCCAATCAGCTGTATTTCAAAAGTATGTGCTGCCTCGGTGCTCAGGGAGCGCGAAGAGAAAGGAAAGAAACGAAGGAGGAACGTCGCTCGTTTCTTCTAAATTTAGCAAAGCACCTAAAACAATTATTTGTTTGCTCAAAATTAGGGATGGGACGACTCGATATTGGGTTTCGATACCAGCATCATTTACAGATCGGATTTTTCCAATCCAACTGCAGAGATTTCTGATCCATGATGCATGTCTGTGACTGCCGAAATGTCTCATGTGATTCCCTGCCGGCTGCTCTGCAAGTTGGCTTCAAACTATGGAATGGATTTCCTTAAAGGCGGCGTGTTTCATGAAACCCAGAGTGATAAGACTCGCCTCACATTCAGGAAATCCATTTCAGTTTGCAGCTAAACCGTGAGTAAATATGTGAGGACTGAGTAGCACTATGGCTAACGGCTAATCCAACTTTTCATCTTAACATGTCCGCTGTGTGGAAATATTTATATATACTTACCTCAAGTTGTCTTTTTAGACATACATGCGTATATTTGTACAACTTGTACTATAGAGGAGATTATTACAGCCTCATATAAACTCAATAATGGTTGCCATTTTAACTAGTTAAAAAAAAATTGTACGCATCTTTCATGATTGTCTATTGTTGTCTACTGTTGTCATCATTCTTTGATAATTTTTTTTTTTTTTTTGTAAATGAGCCCCCCACACCCCCCAGTGGGATTAACCTGTATAAATAAAGGTTTAATGAAAAAATAATGATGATGATATTGGAACGGTATCGGCCGATATCCAGATTTAGGTATAGGGATCGGAAGTAAAAAAAATAAAAAAAATTTTTTTTTAAAGTGGCTCGGTGCATCCTTACTTGAAATTATAGCAAAGGTGCGTCTCAGTTGAACTTTTACTTATGCACTTTAATGGTCAAATTAGCTGCATTTCACCGGCGTGGTGCAGTCAATAAACAGATTCTCAAGTCATCCAGTACATGGTAAATTCAAAACAAGACACAAAGTATAATAAATAAAGTCCGGTTATTTTTGTCTTGAACTTTTTGAATTGGTCATTATAGCCATGTTTACCTATTACATGATACAACAGCATGCCTCACTGCTACTACTACTCTGCTGCCATCTAGTGGCTAAAATAGGTAGTTAATTTTTTTTCAGTCAGACAATGAAAACCAGGCAGCGCAGTGGTGCAACTGGTAGAGCTGCTGTCTCTCAGCAAGCAGGTCCCTGGTTCAAACCCCGGTCCAGGGGGCTTTCTGGGTGGAGTTTGCATGTTCTCTCCGTGCATGCGTGGGTTTTCTCTGGGTACTCCGGTTTCCTCCCACAGACCAAAAACATGCATGTTAGACTGATTGGGAACTCTAAATTGTCCCTAGGTGTGAGTGTGTGTGAATGGTTGTTTGTCTCTATACGCCCCTGTGAGGGTGTACCCCTCCCCTCGCACAGTGATTGCTGGACATGGGCACCGGCGACCCCCGTGACCCAAACTGGTAAAAGATAATGGATGGATGAATGAAAACGATCATACCTCTGCCAAAAATTGGTTTATAAATGGGAAAAATCCATAAATACGTCGCTTCGGGCTACAATTCGCAGGACATGTAAATTATGCACAAAAAAAAACAACAAAAAAAAACGCAACGTATAGGCCGAAAAATACGGTACTTGTACTTGGGTACAAACTTTCAGTACTCTTTTCACCTCTGGTCAGCGGTGACCCTTAACAAAAGGCGACGCGTCAGCGGTGACGCATAATAGATGCGACGTATACGACGAAGCAACAGATTTATATTTTTCCCACTTTATTAAGACATATTTGGACTGAGGCAACTTATAAGGCTGAGTGACATGTACGGTGGAAAATACCGTAAATACTGAAATAAATGGAACGTCGCTACTTTGCGGATTTTCACTTATTGCTGGGGATGCGTCTGAAACATAACACCCGCAATAAACGAGAGACTACTGTAACTTTGTAAACTTTGTAAATTGATACTTTAAATATTTTACGTGTCAGGTCTGCCTGCAGGATTTTAAGGTGGATCCATCTCCGTCACCGTTTTTGTTCTAAGAAAAACACACCAGCGATTGAAGGCATTGTGTTGGGTCAGAACTTTGTGGAAGAGCAGCTGTAGATCTGCAGAAACACGTGCACCATGTTCTGACCAGCACACAATGGTGCGTACCTGTGAGAAAAAAGTTCCGACAGGAAGTTGTGCACAGAACGAGATGTTTTCTGCCCTTCTGATGAATTTAAAGCGGGCTTCGGTCCACCTTTAGAGGTACTACAGAACAGCTGAAGTGTTTAAGATAAGCGAGATGCTGATAATCAAATCAAACGTCAATAAACAGGAGATAACAGAGCAGCTCCTCCTGATAACAGATGGAAGCAGCAGAGACTTCTCTGGGTCAGAAAAGACTGCAGACCAGTTTTTATTTAAAACGTCACAAAAAGGATTTGGTTCCAGATTATAAAGCCAGCCCCAACCCCACAAATATTCTGTACAGTTTTAACTTCTGCTGCTTCAACAGTTTCCTTTGGATTCATTAGTTGGTAGCTAAATAAATAGTTTGTCCCGTGACGGCATCCTGAAATGTCTGTTTGTTCTGCTTGCATTTGAACGCAGCACATTTGATGCTGATGATGTTTTCAGGGGAGGCGTCAGAGCAGCAGAGGAAGGAGCAGCGACGGAAACAGGAAGTGGCAGAGCGGCGTCATCCAGACGGCTGATGAGCGAGACCAGCGCACCTCGTCCTCCAAGTCGTCTGCAGGGACATAACGCATCATAAAACTCACATTTTCATGCATTCTCAGAGACAAACACCAAAATGGCTGCAAATGACTTAATGATTAAAGTTGGAGAAGCAGCAGCAGAGCTCTTCATGTGGGACACTTTTCTTTAAAGCCTTCAAGTAAAACTGTTTACATGAATCGTTTACCTGCATTAAAAAGTGCAACTTGTGCCTTAAGAACCTAAATAAGTTAAAACTGAGAGGTTCCCATTTGCTTGTCAGACAGAAACATTTTCAGCTGAATGCCTTGAGGGACAATAGAATTGGAAATGAGCAGGTGGGCCTGCAGATATTTACCCCAGAGGGAGGGCTTTTTTGTTTCCTGAATAAAACGTGTGAACAGCAACAGAATCCTGACTTCACACAGATTTCCTGTGAAACCAGTAGCACCCAGTCCTGGTCCTTGAGACCACCATCCTGCAAGGTTTTAGGCCCAGTTTACACTGGAATGTCATGCTGATTCTAAATAAATAAATCTGCTTACACGTACCACAGTCTCATTAAATAGTCAAGTCAAATGTATTTATAAAGTACATTAAAACACAGCAGTTGTTACCAAAGTGCTTTGATAAAAAAGGATGACAGTGATTTAAAGAAAATAAAATTATTGATTGATTGATTGATTGATTTTTATTGTCAATTCTGCATATGTACAGGACATACATAGAAATTGAAATTGCGTTACACTCCTACTCAAATTGCAGCAAACAACAACATTAGCAAAAATAAACTAACACAACTAGTTATATAAAAAAAAATATTAAAAAAAATAAAAGTGAACAGCAGCAGGGCCTCTGATGCAACGTGCTCAATAGTGACTAACAGGAGACAAAGGGACACTGACTGAAGACAATAACGTGATGAGAGGTAGATAATGGATGTGCAAGGCCAGAGTAAACAATAGTGCAATATAAAGTATAAACCTGAGAAACTTAGTAAAGTGAAGGTGTGCATACCGGTTCTATATAGTCACAGTTATGTACTTAAGTAAGTATGTATGTATTTAAGGCATCAAAAGAAAAACATCAAACAAAACAATAAAATACTGCATCAAATCACGGTGTGTTAAAAGCCAGAGAAAACAGGTGTTTGAAAAAGAGATTTAAAAAGAGGAAGTGAAGTGACCTGTCTAACGTTGGGGCGCACTGTTCCAAAGTTTAGGGCCCACGATTTAAAAAATATGCTGTAGTTTCCATGTCTGGCATGGTTGCCAGATAGGAAATGACAAACTACTTACTGTATGTGCTAAGTGAGGGTGCACGATCTTTGAGGGTGATGGTTGTAAGAAGAGGTGTTGTGACTGGAGCACCTGTGACCTTAAATCCATCTTAAACAGTAATTATTGTACATCTGGCAACATTGGTCTCTCTAGCACCGTGGTTTTGTATTTCGATGACACGTGTACAGGTCGGTCTGGACGATGAAAACCCTTGCATCTAAAGTGGTGAATAAAGGAATGATGGTTTGGACCCAGGAAAACACTCTGCTCTCTGCCATTTATTAAAACTGTTAAGAGCAGAAAAACTTTGGACTGCAGCTGCCTGCAGTGCGCATGTGCGACTTCACACTTTCGGAGCATTTCACACGTCCACAAGGGGTTCCCCCGAAAATCCTCCGCGACCTAGATTCAGAAACCTTCAGTTTCAGAGAGACTTGAGGGCTGTTGTGTAAAAGAATGACCAAACAGCAGCAGAAAAGTTGTGGTTTCACACCGTGGACCTTATGGGCCGTTTACACGGCGCATATTTTGAGTGAAACTGCACCTTTCTCTCTGCGGTTCGGCTGTTCATTTACACAACAGTTTTCTTCTTTATGGGATTTAAACCGTCGATGAGGTGAAACATCACGTTATTAAAGTTGAAAATGAAGACATCAGGTTTAATTTTTATTTCTTTATTCAACACCACAAACTGTATGCTCATTGTCAATTCAATTCAGTTTATTTATATAGCGCCAAGTCACAATAGGTTTCAGGTCTCTTGTAAATGAGTCCCCGAGGCTCACTGGGATTAACCTGCATAAATAAATGTTGAATGAACAAGAGAACAAAAGCTTTGCAGAGAGTGGTGAAGGCTGCACAGAAGTCTGTTGGAGTCAGTCTCCCCACCATCACAGACATCTACACCTCTAGACGCAGGAAGAGGGCCACCTGCATCATGAAGGACCTCACTCACCCAGCACACGCACTTTTTGCCCCACTCCCTTCAGGAAGGAGGTTGAGGAGCATTAAGTGTAGAACCACTCGACTGAGGAACAGCTTCTACCCTGAGGCTGACTCGTGAATAATCTCTGTGAAAAATCACATCATGTTGCTGCTGATCCGTTTCAATGTTGCTGCTGAATGTTGCTGCTGATCCGTTTCAATGTTGCTGCTGATCCGTTTCAATGTTGCTGCTGATCTGTTTCAATGTTGCTGCTGATCTGTTTCAATGTTGCTGCTGATCTGTTTCAATGTTGCTGCTGATCTGTTTCAATGTTGCTGCTGATCTGTTTCAATGTTG